TTTCCACAGAGTCCACAAGTCTGTCCCTTCATCCAGTCCACAACATAAACCTAACAAAATCCAAGAAAAATTGATAGTTTTAGAAATATCAGCATCAAATTCTCTAAGAAGCACATTGTAGTTTTAACACCTTTAGCACAGTGTTTACAACATCAAATTAAACTGTAAAACTGTTAACCTTGTTATACACTAACACATTTCAAATACTGTACTTATATTATTTGCCATTATTTGGCAATTGTTTCATTGTTTGACTTACCATCCACTGGTCACTGGTATAATAGACCTCTTGAAGACCATGGCCTGGGGCATGGAGAGCGATACCTTGACCCTTCTGCTCAATTTTTATGGTACCTACAACAACAAATCCTAATAAATGTACAGGTAAACACTCTAAGACTACCTTCCCAAGGCAAAGACCAGCATCCCAGTAAAAGTCATATGACAAATCAAGTCATGATGCAAGCAACAGACTTTTATTCCAAAATAATGTGGAGAGAACTTCAACCTGTTGGGTTCTGGTATGAAATATTGTTGGTTGGTATTTCAATTCCATTCATTTTAACCTTCACTGCACCCTTCTGGTGGTATATGTCAACATCGCTGTGGTCGAATAAAGCATTGGATATTGTAGTGAGGTTGCTTTTGTATAATGGAACTAGTAATATCTGTGAGCTGGACTTACATGTCTGCCACCTTAATGTTTAGGTCTTCATGCTCAAAGACATCATCTTTTTTTATTAGGACTATGAATTTGTGCTCTGAAGTGCAGTCTTGAACTAAGACTTGGTAGCAGGAAAGGGGAATTTCATAGTTGTACTTCTTATGGTTGAATGTAGTCAAGGTGTTTCTGACCTTACTGCATTTAGCTAAATAGTGAGACAAACAAACATTTACTGAAAAAAAGATCAATTCATGAAAAACGAAAGGCCAGCTTAATATGCTTTACTAACCTGAACTAGTCTCTATATAAAGGTTTCGAATTATGTCTGTGACATCATTTTCTGGATAGGCCTGGATAGCCTCAAATGGCAAAGCGATTGGAAGAACCAAGTTCGACACTGACAAGGTCATCTGCAAATTCACAAATCTTAGAAAGTGTTGTCAAAAAAAATGGCATAGTTAACCACTCATTAGATTGTTGCTTACTGTTGGGGTCTTAATAATGATGTCCAGGGTCCTTTCAGTTGGGACAAGTATGATCAGTTCAATCTGCCTCTTAATGTTTTTTTCATCGCTAATAGCCAATCCAGTCATTTGAGCTGCACCAGGAATATATTCAGCCACACTTGAATAGGGAAGGAAAAGAAAAATGTGTTGATATGTTGACATATATGAAGTGGAACATTTGCGATGAAGAGTAACCAAACCTCTTGGCATAGGTGGTGATAATTGTGGGCACCTTCTCACACTTCACTTTAAGATAGGCCATAGGACTTGGACCTTGGTGGCCAGTCTCTGCGTTTATGGTAATTGCATATTGTTGGCACTCTGCACCCCAAGCAATCCTTGCCTAGATAGAGGCACATTTTGAATGCTTTATCCTAACACAGGGGTGTCCAGTCCTGCTCCTGTAGAGTCACAATCTTGCAGAGTTTAGCTTCAATCCCAATTAAACACACCTGAACCAGCTAGTCAAGGTCTTCAGGATTACTAGAAACTTTCAGGCAAGTGTGTTGGGGCAGGTTGAAGTAAACTCTGCAGGCTATTGACCTTCCAGGACCAAGATTGGACACCTCTGACATAGCAGAAAAAGATAACTAAACCAAAGTCATTTCATCAAATTTCTTACACCAACATTGTGCTTGCTCAAAAATACACCATCAGCACACATTTTCCAGTTGTTCTTCACTGCAATGGAGACCACAATGATCTGCACCCTTGAGGTGGGCATGTCCAGGTAAGCAGTGAGCTGGTACCCCAACAACTTACGATCAACTCTCACAACACGTGCAATGACAGCAACCACTGGAGGAACCGAGTCCCCAAGGAATCTAGACTGTAACCATGTAAAGACATTTAAAACTTAATTGATTAAAAATAAAATGATAAAAAAGGGTTTAGCAAAAATTTGCTTATAGAAACTTCGTCATACCTGAATGGGCTTGAAACTTTCATTGCTTTGTCCACTGGAGAGGTCCTAGTGATCCAGAAAAAAAATTGTTGTAAAAGTAAAACTTTAAAACATTGACTTATGATTGGCAAATCATATTTTTCTTCTTTTTATGTCTTAGTACCAGGCACACTGTTTGAATTATTAAAGAGAGAAGCGTATATGCGTCGCCAATGTCCAAGAGATATTTAGCAAGTTAAATATCTAGAAATATATATTAAATATTTGTCTGCAACCCAAGTCCTGCAATGTGAAGTGCTTTGATTGACATTAGGGAGGACAGACATTCGTGTAGTGTGAAAACAGCAATCCAACTTCTTTGAAAGTTGTGTAGTGTGTCGGTTGCATAATAAATAGAAAATCCTGGAATTAACTTTGTGGTTATGAAAATACTCACTTTGGACAGATGCGAGTTGGAAGATCGAACAGAACTGCTGGAACTAAAGCTGTGGCTACTGGTGCTTTGAGAGTAAAATAATTTATTATGGCTAAAGAAACTGGAGTTCTTGTTCCTCTGATC